ACAAACACCTTCACCTGCAGAGCTGGGTAGTTTTCTCATCTGTTATTTGATTGGTTTCCCCCATCCATAGCTCTTTAGTGTGTGGGGGGGTGGGGGGCTGGAGGGGGTGTATAGACTATGCACACTCCCAGCAGTGGCGGCAGGACATCTGGGCACAGGGAGCTGAGTTGCCCTCTGCTGGTTCAGGCAGAGCTGTTGCCCAGTCCTTCTGGGGCATCACACACCTGCTCCCCAGAACCCCAGGTGTTCCTTTAGCCACGCAGACACCGGCACTCACATTTTCAAGGAGCAGGAAGGCAGCAGCAAGGGGTTATAGGATCAGGAAGTCAAGAGACCCTAAGAGACTGGGTTTAGTCTGAATCCCTGATTTCTACCCTGGAGCTTCCTTTTTGCCCCAACTTCCTCATTTTAAAAGGTGGGGTCCTTGGTGTTTCCTGGGTTCCTGCCCATCTCTGCCATTCTGTGCCTTGCTCCCCCTGGGGAGGGCACCAGTTCCGGGAGCCACTGTGTGCAGCCCTGCTGGCCTCTGTCTTGTTTGGGAACCTGTTTCTGATGGATGGTCTGTCTCCCTGTCTGGATGTCAGCTCCGGTGAGCAGACTCACCTCCCTTGTTCGCTGTCCTAGAAGCAATGCTCGGAACAGTGTCTGGCACAGAGAAGGTGCTCAGCAAATAGTTGTTGAATGACTCCAAAAGGCTTTGTTGAATGACAGCCAGTACTTTGCTGTGCCAGCCACTGGGCTCTGCCCAAAGGGTCAGCAAGTGAGCATAACGCAGCCCCCTGCCCTCAGCTGGCCTCTGCTGAGAGGACGATGCAGAGCTGTAACCCCGCCTCCACTTGCTCACCATGTGTCTGAGTCCCACGCAGTCTCAGCGATCTCCCACCCAGGGGCATCTTCAACCCACTTCCAGCCTGGCTCTGAGATCTCTCCTGGCCTCACCTCCCTTCGAGGTGGCCTGCATGGCTTGGTTCCAGCGGCACCTACCTGGACAGCTCAGAGGAGCAGTGACACTCCTCATACCCAGCAACAGGCTCAGGCTGAGGGCTCACAGAGGAGAGTGAGAACCCCACAGCCTCACCATGACCCCGGGACCCTGATCTCTCAGGCAGGTGGGCTGCGGTCAGAGACTACTCAGCCTGTCCCAGAAGGAGGGGGTCTGTGTCCTGTGGGAGGAGGTAGGAACTGGCTGAGGAAACTGAGCCATTCTCTGAGGTTCTCACTAGTTTGGTATCAGATCCGAGACACCAGCCAAATGGTGCCATTGGTCATCTGAAGGCACAGCTTGGGGACAGCCCCTTGGGAACGTGCCCAAAGGGAGAGGAGGGCACAGCGGGTGGGAGGATTTGGAGAAGTTGTCCATCTCAGCTGGTCAGCCACAGCCGGAGTCTGGTCCGACCTGTTACTTCAAGTGCTAGCCCCAATGTGGAGCCTCTGACCTCTCCCCTCTATGACCTCTGTCTCCTCAAGGCAGGGCAGGGCAAAAAAGGGGCCTCCATTTCCTCCTCCTCCTAGATAGAGAGCCCCAAGTGATGATTGTCACCACAGTCATTGCTGCTGGCCAGGCTCTCCTGCAGCACCTCCTGGTGCATTCACCCATGAGGAGGCCTCGTTATTCCAGCTTTATTGACCTAAAGGGAGCAGCTGACAGCTGGGATGAGGGGTTGCTGGGGTCCAAGCCAGGGCCTGGGCCAGAAGGAGGAGATCTGCCCTTGGACTCAGAATCCTTCCAGCCCCTGGTCTGAAAGACAAGGCTTGGATTCACTCACCCAGTGACAGAAGCCAATTGGAAATTGCAGAGGGCACAACATGACCTCGTTCTCAGGTCCTAGAAACAAACAGCGTTTGCACTGGGTGGGGTCACTTAAGCACCCCTGGAGGAAGGGAGTCTGCAGCCAGGGTCCTTTGGTTTCCACAGCCTTCCGGAAGGTCAGGAGGTTGCAGCTTCCCTGGGGAAACCCAGCCAGCCAGGAAGAGGACAGCCTGGCCCCCTTCATGTTGGAAAGATTTCAAGAAGGAAGGACCCAGGCCTAGAACTGCTAACTGCGCAGTGAAGGGAGATTTCACAGGAGGGGAGAAGGAAATAGCAAAAAAACAAACAAACAAAAAATCAAACCCTGGGAAAAGGGAAGTGGCTGATAGAAAGGCACGTGTGGATGAATTTTAATGCAATCAGAAAGCTGTCATAATGATAATAAAGGAATATATTCAGACACCAGGAGAGAAGGCAGGGAGGTGTGGTCCCACATTTAAATCAGGCACAGGCTAGGAGGGCCTTCTCTTCACTCCCTTTTTCCTTCCCAGGGAATTTCTAAGCAGAATGGCCTGGTATTAGCAGCGGGTGGTTTTCACTTCTTTGTCTTTCTGAAAATCCTGTTAATGGGGAACCTTTAGAAGGCTTTGGCAGTGGGATGGGGTGCACTGCCTGGGTCTGGAAAGGAGTTTCAGTTACTCCAAGAGAGGCTTTAAAAGCTCCCAGCTCACCTCAGGTCAAGTGCTGCTCTTCTGGGAGTTAGACATGAGCCTCCCACCTCCTCTCCTCTGCCCCACCCTCTCCTCCTGCAGGTCTCTCCTCCCTGCTCTCTGTCTATTTCTGATTCCTTTCACTCTGTCTATCTTCACCATCTTCCCTCCCTCTCTGCTCCTAACCCCATCTCCTGCCATCCCTCCTCAGCCTCACCCCTTTTTTACTGTCTCTTTCCCTTTCTCTTGGTTTCCCAGTCTTTGCCCCCCAGCCCAGAGCTGGAGTTGGTGAGCCCTGGAGATAAGACAGGGGCATGCCCAGCCCTGCCAAGGCCCATAAGCCTGGTTAAGTCGGCAGGCTGGGACAGTGGGCAGGGTGGGGCCTCCAGGCCCCCAGCTTTGGCTAAAGCCCACCCGTGGTGGAGGTCCAGGCTAGTGCGCCCTAACCCAGAACTAGTAAAGGAACTGATGCCTGCAGGGTGTGGAAGGAGTTGGAACCCAGGGCCACCTCATCATGATGACATGCCCAGTGCTGGGTGCTCTGGGTGAGGCGGACCAGCAGGGCAGCAGTTAGGGCTTCCTGAAGAGGAGGAGTCTGGGGTGGCTTGTGAAGGAGAGCTGGGGCCCGGAGGTTTCTTGCTTCGCTCCAGTCACCAGGACAGCCCTCAGCTCTATGTGAACTCTCCTGGCTGTGGGTGAGGGGGCTCTCTCGGGCAGGAGGTACCCACTGCCCTGGATACAGAGGGACATGGTCCCAGAGTGCCCCCGCCTTCCAAGAAAACCATCAACACATGACCCATTGCAGCTTTGGGGGTGAGGGATGCATTTCTGTAGCCTTAGCTGCCTGTGCCCTTGTGTGCCAGTCACTCAACCGTCTGCAGACATCTAGTGAGTGCCTGCTGAGTGCTGCCGCCACAGGGCCCCTGTTCCAGCTACTGAGGCTGCATAACAATGTAGCCCAGAGTGAGGGGTATGATACAACCGTTTATTATGCTCTCGGATTCGGTGGGTCAGGAACTCAGACGGGGCACAGCATGGAAGGCCTGTCTCTGCTCTAGGATGTCTGGGCCTCTGCTGGAAAACTCAAAGGCTGGGCCAGGAGTCATCCGGGGACTCACTCACTTCAAAGTCTGGTGGTTGGTGTTGGCTGTCAGCTGGGGCCTCGGTTCCTTTCTGTGTGCACCCACCGTGTGGGCCCCTGGGGTGTTTGTCACAGCGTGGTGTCTGGCTGCTACAGGGCAAGCGTCCCCCAAAGAGAGATCTGAGTGGAAACTGATCCCTTTTATGACGTAGCCTTGGAAGTCAGCGGGCATCACTTCTGCTGTTCATGGTGGGTGAGAGCAGTCACAAGCCCCACCCAGATTCAAGGGAAGGGGACATGGACCCCAGCCTCTCAGTGGGAGGTGTGACGTCATGTTGAAATAAGAACGTGCAGGGTGGGAAATCTTTTTGAAGTCGTGGCGATCTGTCAGCCTAAACACAGAGCTGAATTGTGTCAACAAACCACTTGGTACTCAACACAAGTGTGGGGAAGCTGCTGGGGGAACCCAGTCTTCAGGCTCTCCAAAAGTGCCCAGGGCTGAATTTTGCAGCAAGAACAAATAGGAAGGCCTGAACCAAGGAGGTGAAAACATGTGAGATAGAAAGGAGACATGTCCCATGGAATGGCATAGAGCATTCACTCATTCCAGGACTCTATCCCCAGGGCCTACTATGTGCCAGGTGCTGATGCTCCAGGAGAGGCCCAGTCTCTTCCCCAGGGAACATAGGGGGGGTGAGGGGGCGGGGGGGCACTGGCAGGGAGCTAGACAGAAACCAACTACACAGGCAAAGCATGAAATAATTATCTTTCAAAAATCAGGCCATGAGAGTTGAGGGGCTGAGACAGAGAATAAAGGAGAGGTGGAAGGAGGGGCCTTGATGAGGAAACAATAGGTGGAAGGAGGGGCCTTGATGAGGAAACAATAGTTAAACTGAGACCTAGAAGAAGAGAAGGAATCAGCCTTGTGATACGGAGGGCACCCCAGGCAGAGGGACCAGCATATGCAAAGGCCCTGTGGCAGACTTGCTTGTTGTGAGTTAATTTTGGCAGCTGTGAGTGAAGGTAGATGAGGAAGAGAGTGTGTCTGGGACGAGGGAAGAAGGGACCTCAGGACTGCATGAATGACCCCTGTGCCTAGGTGAGTGGCCAGGCCCATGGCCTTGCTCCCTCGTTGTGCGACAGGAGTGGGCAGAGTCGCTGCAATCCAGCTCCCCCTTCACCCAACCTTTTCCGCTGGCTTGGCCCTCCCTCTACCTCTAGCCCCTACCCGCGTCGTCCCTGCCCCACTAGCTAAGCCCCACCCCCAACCACGCCCTCTCCCTGCTACCCTCCTGCCCCTGGGGTCTGAGCCCCGCCTCGCTTTGCCCAGCTTCTCCCTCCCCGGAAACCCTTCTCCTCCCGCCGTGCCGGGTTCCCCCACCCCCACCCCTACCCCCGGCTCTCCCCCGCGTCGCCCGGCCCCCCGGGCCCCGGTAAGCATCTCCTAATTTTGTTCCAGAAGATAGAAAACTCTTTGTGGGCATGCTCAACAAGCAGCAGTCTGAGGACGACGTGCGCCGCCTCTTCGAGGCCTTCGGCAACATCGAAGAGTGCACCATCCTGCGCGGGCCCGACGGCAACAGCAAGGGTGAGCCGGGCGGGCGGGCTGGGGCATGGGCGGGGCGGGTCGCCGCGGGACCCGCCCTGACGGCTGCATTCAGAGCCGGAGCTGGCCAGGGTCGGCTGGCCAGCGAGGGCTGCTTGGAAGGGACGGGGCGGTGGAACGAGGTCTTTCTCTGTCTCTGCTTCTCGGTGGCTCCCCTTTCCTCTCGGTCTTTCTCTCTCCTACTGCCCCTCCGCCCTCGCCCTGGCCTCCCTCTGGGCCCTGGGCCCTGGCTCAGCCCCGCCTGTCCCCCCAGGGTGCGCCTTTGTGAAGTACTCTTCCCACGCCGAGGCGCAAGCCGCCATCAACGCGCTGCATGGCAGCCAGACCATGCCGGTGAGTTCGGCCACCCCTGGGTGGGGCTGGAACGCGGGCAGCGGCCAGGTGACACCCCTGCCCATCCCAGAGCGCCCGCAGGGCCCTACCCACCCTTACACGGTCCCTACCATGCAAAACCCTGGCCGCGCTGCTCACTGCCTCCGCATGAGACTGGAAGGCATTACCACTATCCCATATCTCAGACAGGGACACTGAGGCCAGACACCTAAGGAACTGGCCGACAGTCCAATTAAGACCCCAGACCCCTGGGCGAGCGCCGTCCCGCAGCCCCCAGAAGCGCCTCCCCAGCGGAGAGGGAGGGCCTAGGTCAGGGGCACGGACAGCTGGACAGCTGGGAGCGGAGGCAGCTAGGGCAGGTGGGCCTCACGCGCAGTCCCGGCTACAGGGAGCCTCGTCCAGTCTGGTGGTCAAGTTCGCCGACACTGACAAGGAGCGCACGATGCGGCGAATGCAGCAGATGGCTGGCCAGATGGGCATGTTCAACCCCATGGCCATCCCGTTCGGGGCCTACGGCGCCTACGCACAGGCAGTAAGTGGGGGCGCAGACGGGGGTGGGGGTGTATGGGCAGGGGTTCTCGGCTAACTCTGCTCAGAACCCCAGAGCAGGGACACCTCTCTTTGCCAGGGGAGCCCTGTGTTTCTGGCCTAGAAAACACTGCCCCCGCCCTGGGGAGTGAGGAGTGGTCGGGAATGAACCCGGGGGTAGAAGCCAGAGAGGGCTGAGGGAAGTGTGGTTCAGTCCAGGGTGGCTGCCAGGAGTGGTGGTTTGCTGCCCTGGTTCTTAAGGGGAGGAGCTGGAGAGGCGGCTTCTAGGCAGGGCAGCAAGGTGGGTTATCCTGAACGCTCCCCTGCCAGTCAAGCTCTAGGAAGCACCAATGGAAGTGGGGAGAGAGGTTGAGGTGTTTGGGTGTCACCACCCACCCCTGCCCCCATTCATGGAAGGGTGTGCTGGGCCTCTGGTCGCTCCTGGCAGGGGTCCTGTGTGGCTCCTCAGAGCCCATCACACCAATGCTTCTGCTGCAGTCCCCCTCTTCTCCCCCCCGGCCCCTGGCTCGCCAACTGCGTCCTTCCACCTTGGGGCCTTCTTGGCCAGCTTCTCCCCTAAGCTGCCTCCCAGATTTGTAGCCACAACCCCCACTGGTGCCATCCACTCCCATGGCATCGGTGCCCATGCAGGCCTCATCCGCTGGCAGTTTGTCTCAAAAATGTTCTAATCTCAGGGGAATCAGGGAAGGCGGGATATGGGCCCCATGAAGACTTTGGAACAGTTAGCTCTTTGGGGGTGGTTTCTAATAGCCTTTGAGAGCTAGGGCAGCAATGGGGGAGACATCGGGGTTCTCTGGGGGGTGGGGAGCTGTGTCTGAGCTCCCTGGGGTTCAGGGCCTAGGAGGCTGGTGTCCAGGAGCTGAGCCCCCTGGTGGGAGGGTTGCCCCCCCTGGAAGCGCATGATATTTTTTCCACTCCTTCTGCCCCAGCTGATGCAGCAGCAAGCAGCACTAATGGCATCAGTCGCGCAGGGCGGCTACCTGAACCCCATGGCTGCCTTCGCCGCCGCCCAGATGCAGCAGATGGCGGCCCTCAACATGAACGGCTTGGCAGCCGCACCCATGACCCCAACCTCAGGTGAGCCAGCAGGTACCAACACAGGACACAGCTGAACCCAGGTCCAGACCTTTTGTTTGGCCATTTTCGGCTACATTGGACCACCTTGTGGCAAATAGCACATGGCATCGGTCCCCATGCAGGCCTCATCTACCAGCAGTTTGTCTCAAAATGTTCTAATCTCAGGGGAACCAAGGGAAGGTGGGATGTGGGCCCCATAAAGTCCTGTTATGGTTTCAGGGGGGTGGGAATTTCACTCATGTTGTTTTGGAAAGAAATTGACATGAACCCATCTCCCCTTGAGTTCTGAGGGGAGAAGAGCCCTGCCCCTTCTGTGGCCTTGTTTGGTCCCTCGCCCAAGCATAGAAGGAGCTGATTTTTAAATGTCCCTTTAACCCAACATAGACTCACTGGCTTTTTCCAAGAGAACTACACAACACGCAAGAGAGAACCACAGAGTTACCAAAGGACAGGGGGGTGGGAAACAGCCCTGCTCACAAAGTCTGTTTTTAATTGGATCCTGGTTAGTATCCAGTTCAGTGATTCTCAACTGGGGCAATAATTTCATGCCTACTCTCTCCCCACCCCAAGGATATCTGGCAATGTCCTGAGACCCTATTGGTTGTTACAACTTGGGGAGGGGAGTGAACTCTGATGTAGTAGGTAGAAGCCAGGGTTGCTGCTAAACATCCAACAATGCACAAGACAGCCCCCATGACAAGGAAATGTCTGACCACAAATGTCAATAGTGTCAACGTTGAGAAAACCTTGTCTAGTCCAAGGGCTGGCCCAATAGCCTGGGCTTTCATTCACCAAGCTTCCTCGCTCTCCACACCCAGCTCATAGCAACAGCCTTCCTTACACCCCCAAGCGATTCCTTTCCCAGATAAAGTCCATAAAAGACTGTGCCGTCTCTAGGCCCAACTTGAGTACTACCTCATAGCTCTGATCCCCAGTTTAGGGATACTCCTGGACCCAGGCCAGCCTCATGTCCTAGTCCACAGAGAGATCCTGCTTTCTACATGAAGGGAAAGGCCCTTCCCAGCTTTGAGGCCTTAGTACAATCACCAAGCCAGCCACCCCTTGAGTTCCACCCACCTGGCATAGAGAGGACACAGTGTATTGTCATCTGACCCTAACTTTACTCTCACCACTGTGAGCATAACCATAATCTCAACAGGAGGCGGCCAAGGTGTCTACTGTGTATGAATAGGGCTGAGTCTGGACTCTGCAAAGTCCTCTCTCCCTCATTGCAGGGGAGCTCCAGAATTAAGACCTCCTCCACCCACGTAGCAAAACTTCTTCCTGGGGAGGCAGATCAGCCCCTCCGTGATCCAGGGAAGAGAGCAGAGCCAGCGACTTAGAAGCCCGTTGATGGCTAAACAGGGACAAGCTCATCCTGACTTAGCTGGGGTGAGCAAGAACCACTGGAAAGAACTAAAGGAAGACCAAGTGTGGTCAAATTCAAAGGCATTGAGAATAGTCTATGTACTGTAGTTCCAAGGTTGAGTGGTCAGTGGTCAGGGAAGTCTTCATGGGGTAGGTGGGATCTGGACTCTGCCTTGAAGGGTGGATACAGATGGGGTGAGTGGAACCACTCCATGCATGGAGGTGATCCAAGATGTGATTGAGTCGGTGTGTGAATTCCAAGTGTACACCCAGGCCCTTGGAGCCAGGAGGTGGAGCTCCATGGGTTGGCCTTTTCTCACCTTTGTTCTTCTTGCCTCCCCTCCTCCTCCACCCTTCCCCATCTCTGAAACCAGGTGGCAGCACCCCTCCGGGCATCACTGCACCAGCCGTGCCTAGCATCCCGTCCCCCATTGGGGTGAACGGCTTCACTGGCCTCCCCCCACAGGCCAATGGGCAACCTGCTGCAGAAGCTGTGTTTGCCAATGGCATCCACCCCTACCCAGGTAAGCACATCTGGCAGCCCTTCCTTACCCGTGCAGCACACCCCTCATCCATTCTGCCGCTGCCCTTGCTGTTACAACCGGGAATGTGTGGCTCCTGCCCTCCGTCCATTCCTTGGTGGAACCCCAAATGTGATCAGGGAGATCAGGGAACCTCTGGTGGGAGATATCAAGTTCCCGTCCTTGGGGAGGTGTCTGTCTGGTAGGTGAGAAAGAATGCATTCCTGGGGCTCCTGCAGGGAGAAAAGAGAAGCGATGTAGTAATTGTACAACCAGAGGCTAGTAACTGCAAATTAATTGAGAGTGAATTTGACCTATAAGAAGTCATGGGACAGAAGCTAAAATAATAAGTATACTTAGTGTTAAGTAGGAAAAGGCTCTTTGGGGAAGGAAGGGGAAAATACATAGATTGACATTCTGTCCGGTACATACTGGAGTACACACAACCCCTATCAGCACATCACACAGAGGGTCAGGACCTTGGACAGCTCCCTGGTCCTGCTTTGATTAATTCTGACACACAAGATCCGGGAGGCCAGGGCCTGATTAACTCTGTTCCTCTCAAACTTAGCAGCTCTTTCATGGTGGGACTGTCCAGTTGACTTAAGCAGCTCCCATCTCTGGCCTTGAGGATGGATAGAGCAGGAGAGCTGAGCCCGAAGCCCTACGGTAGACTAGCAAGGGACAATGTCTCAGAGATGCGGGGAGTGCTGTCCTCCTTCCTAGAGGGCAGATGACAAAGTTGCAGAGTCCCCATGAGTACAAGTAAGTGCCCAGTCTGTGCTGGATGGAAGGGGACCCCCAGAAGGCGGGCAGGATGGGGGCCTCTCCCCTGGGAGGTCAAAGTCCAGTCAGGAACACAATATACATTGACAGAATGTTGAAAGAATAAGCAGAATGGAGTCTGATCAAGAGTGAATGTTTCCATTGTGAGGTGCTAAATATTTCAAAGGAAGGGAGGGTTCTATAGGCTGAAGAAGCCCAGCAGAGTTGCCTTACAGGAGGCTCAGACGGACGTTGACAATGGGTAGGAATTGGAGAGGAAAGGATGGACAAACCAGGGGCACATCCTAGGGAGCGTCTGTCCTGGAGGCCCAGCGGGAGGAGGGGCCTGCCTGGTGGGCCAGGGATGGTGAGGTTGGCCCAACCAGGGCAGAGGAGGTCAGCTTGAGGTGGGTCAGCCGTGGGCGGCAGAGTAACGCTGCCCACTCTGGTTGTCCATCAGAATCCACTGTGTGGCTTTGTAAAACCACAGAAGCCTGGAGGTTGTGATTTCAGTGTCTGCTAATGATTTCAGGAGTGAGGCCCAGACCTCCAGAGAATATAAAAGTTCCAGCAGCGGCAGAAGGCAAGGTCCCTGTGCTAGAGAAAACCAGAGGAGAATGTGCTGACTTTGAACTTGGAGTTGTGCTTGTCTTGTCTTAGTGTTTGCCCCTCAACTCACCTCTCAGTGCACAGAGAGGAGGCCGGAGAAGCCTAGAGAGAGAAGCGGCAGGGCCCTGGGTCTGGAGTTGTTTCAGGATGAAGAGTCCAGGCTGGCAAGGGAGGCAGGGCAGGGGCTGGGCAGCTGGAGGTGGGAGTGGGCCCACCAATCTCAGGTTCCTGGGCTCCGCCTGCCTCAGGCTCATGGGCTGGGAGATACAGTCCCCGCACATCTGGGTGGTTTCATTCCCCCGCCTCCGTGCCCACAAGCCCATCTGGAGCTCTGGATTTTGACAAACCTGTTCTTTCCCCACCCCCACCAGCATCTGTGAGCTATTTCCCTCGTGGACTTTGGAACTGTTTCTCTCCCCCATTTGTAACAATCTGCCATATCCCATAAACAATTCCCTGCCGGAGCAGGAGGGAGGGGTGGAGGGAAGGAAAGGAGAAAAGTAGTACATTAAAAAAATTAATTTACCATCTTTAAATGCGGAGTTTGGAGCCGCTGTAATGAACGAGATCCTTCAAAATGTTCACTCTTTGGCAGTTACTAATGAGGTCATTAAGCAGAGAAGTAGAGAGGGTCTCAGAAATGCCTTCCTCCACTTCCTAGCCCCAGGTAGCTTCCCCGCTCTCCCCTCTCCTCATCGAGATCATGTTGAAAGCACATAGTGTGGCCTTTACTGCCACATAACACCCCTGCAGGGCTGTCTCTATAAATGTTAAGTACGATTCCTTCTTTCCTATGTCGCAGTATATGCTGAGCAGTTGCTATGAACCTAGCGCTGTGCGTGTGTGAGGGTGTGCGTGTGTGAGGGGGGCGGGGGGCGGGGGGGCGCGTGGCTGTCAAGTGAGTTGTGCAGGTTTTATGTTACACAGGGCACCACACTATGTGCCAGAGATAGAGACAACTCTTTCTTTAATTTGCATAAAGGCAGGATGTGGTTGAGCGGCTAGGGAGACCAAGAGCTGAGGTGGGTTTCCCTCCAGAGAACTGAGGCAGAGTCAGGGAGAGGGAGCAGCAGGGAGGAGAGGACACCCCCAAGCACCTATCACCACTACCACCTCAGCACTGGCAGCTCCTGACTCCAGGCCCCACGAGTGGGGGGAAGAGAGGGACAGGGCTAGGATCCGACTTCAGCCACCCCTCTGAGCAGCCCTGGCCCAGCTCCCCTGCTGCAGCCCGCAGTCTTTAAGCATCTCTGCCCCATGATTTCCCTGGCTGCCCTGAGGTCCAGGTGCTATTGTTGGAGTGGGATGTTACTGAGGCTCAGAAACAGGAGCCCGGGAAGGAAGTGGGGAATTCTTCCTGGTCTACAAGGCCCCTAAGTCTGGCACTGCCAGTTAGCTTGGCGACCAAGGTCACCAGGCAGGTAAGTCCCGATGGTTTTCTTTCTGCCTCCCTGTGTTACCCAGTTTTCTCTGAATTTACTGCGGCTAGATCTGTCCCCACCCACCTCTCCAGGCCTCTGAGGCCAGCCTACTCCCACTAGCCATCGCCACCAAAGGCAGTGCCCACTGTTGGCCCTGCACTAGGCTTGGCCCCACAGCCTCTAAGACCCAGCAGAGGCAACAGAAGTGGACAAAGCCTTCCGCAGCCCGGCTGCCCTCAGTTCTTGCCCAAGTGTCAGCATGAGGGCCCTCTTCTCGCACCGGGCAGTAGACATCCAAGAGTCACAAATTCGGGCTGGAGGAAGGTCCTTGGCCTGCTGGTTCCTCAGTGTCTGTGGGCACCACTCCTCTCCCAGCCCACAGGCAGGCCTCATCTGTGTGGCCAGTCCTGCCCAGGGTGTCTTAGCCACGGCCTGGGGATGGAAGCCTCGTGCCTTGTGCCAACTCCCTAGACTACAGGAGAGGGTCCTTCTGCCTGAGCAGCCATGGGTGGCCCAGGAGGACAGAGTGGCAGGGTGAGGCCCCCTGTGCTTTTCTTTCGCCAGCTGGGTTCTGCCCCCGACTTCTGCTAAGGACAGTGAGGATGAGACCAGCCTCCTGACAGCCTCTCGCCCACTTTCCACAGCCCTTCTCCTGGGCCAGGTCCCTCATGTGTCCCCACTAAGCCCCTCATGGCCAAGCTTCTGGCATCTTCTTCCCAGCCCTTCCCAGCCTTCTGCATAAAGCATCTGTCTCCCCCCACCCCAGGCCAGCTGCAGGCTGCATCCCCCAGCCAGGGGGGCAACCTCCACCCTACTAAGGGCCCTGGACTGGAGAAGGGGGAACCCCAGCAAGGCAGGCACTCAGGTGACCTGCTCCAGGGCAGACACCACAGTGCTTGGGAAGGACAATGCAGCCACAGTGCCATCTCCATGGGCGTGGTGGGGGAGGGGCTGGCTTGGGGGGCATCACTGACCTCTGCCCCTTGGCTCCCCTGCAGCGCAGAGTCCCACGGCCGCGGACCCCCTGCAGCAGGCCTACGCGGGAGTGCAGCAATATGCAGGTCGTTAGTACCCGCGCGTGCCCACTGCTCCCCCAGCCCTGCTCATCCCCACCTAGGCCTGGGCCGGGCACTGTAGGGGAGGGAGAGGTGGAGAGAGGGGGGGGTGGGGAGCTGAGGTGAAAGGAGGGAGGGCTATACTCCCAGAGGCCACTGCTTCAGGCTGCCACCCTCTGGCAGGCCCCTAGCATTCCGGCAGTCTCCCACGGTGCCCTTGGAGAGGTGGGTGGTCAGAACTTCAGGCCAGGTGAGCCGGGCTGAAGTTATCATCTTTGCAGTTATCACCTTGCAGTTATCATCTTTGAGGCCAGATTTCCTTCCCATGGGGCTGCCAAGCCAGTGTGTCTAGTTTATCCAGCACCAAGCCACACAGCAGCATGGGGTGGGGAGGGTGGGGGCTGGGGTGCCGCCCACCGCAGTCCACAGTCCACAATTGCCGGTCCTGGAAGCTTAGATGACTGGGTTTGAGAGAAGGAGAGGCCCTGGAGGGGAAGCAGTTCAACCTTCCGTGCCCCACTGCCCCCCTGCCAGGTAGTGGGAGTTGGTGTGAGCAAGGCTGACCAAACAGGGAGGATAGGCAGCCAGAGGTAGAAAAAGGAGGGGTAGATGGCCTTGGGCCACTGAATGGGAAGGGGACCAGCCACTACAGAAAGCCCAAGGCAAGCTGTCAGTCATGCTTCTCTCACTCCCACCCCTGGGCCGGGCAGCACGCACACACACGAACACGCACACACACCTGTGTACATACAAACACAAACACGCACACACCTGTGCACACACACACTTCTCATCTTCACTGCGCGCTTCTCCTTTACTCCTGAGCGCCAGCTTTATCTTACGTGGCTGCACTGAAGTGCACTTTTGACTGGTCTGCTTTTACTGCTCAACACTGAAATGTCTCTTCCTTCTTGCCTCTCACCCTGTCTCTCCCTGTCGCTGTCGTCTCGCTGTCGTCGTCGTGTCTTGCTCTCTTGCCTCTTCTCTTTGGCCCTCCAGCAGCCGCCTACCCTGCTGCCTATGGTCAGATAAGCCAGGCCTTCCCTCAGCCGCCTCCAATGATCCCCCAGCAACAGCGAGAAGGTGAGTCTGCAAGCCGGGCTCCCAGGCCCCTCCCCGTCCCCTTCTCCCCCCAAAGAGGCTGCTCCTGGGTCTTCGGTAGGCATTTTGTTGGAAAAATGACCATGTTTGTGTGCTGGGTTGAGGTGAGGGAAGAGGGCAGGATTGTGAGACGCGGCGCTCTCCAATGCAGCATGAGGTGGGCTTCTGCAAACCCCAGGGGAAGGTTAGGAGGGTGGGCCCCTGGACGACTTGGGGGCCCAAGAATTCCCCCTCCCCCAGTGGAGAGGAAGGGAAGAAGTAGGGATGCTCACAGCTGGCATGGGGGAAGTGGGGGGAGGGCAACCTATTGTCAGAAGTTTTACCCTCTGGGTGACCAGGCGAGCCAGATGGGGATAGGGGCCCAAGTGCGGGCCTCTGGGGAGACGGAGATCCTGGAGAGCCACCTCCAGAGGCCCTGGTGTGACCAGGGTGGGCCAGGCAAGGCCAGTGCCCAGGGAGGCTGGGGCTCATTAAGACGCAGTGTCCTCCCGTTCCTGAGCTGGAGACCTACAGGAGCTGGATAAACAAGCCCGCCCTCGGGGCCCCATGGCCTGCACGAGCTCAGTTTGACAGGGTAGGAACACTAACAAGGTCCTGTCCTCCCCACCCCCATGAAAAGGTCACCCTGCCAGCGAGGCCACCATTGCCCAGTAGCCCACATGGCCAGGGGGTCCAACTGGTCTCCAGCGGCCGGCATGAGCTCTTGCCACAGACTGTCCCACAGCTGGGGATAGTTAGTCCTGGGGAGGACATGTGGGTCTGCGGTCCAAACCCCTTTGGTCAGACAGGCCCCAAACAGGCCTAGAGCCTGAAGGGCTGAGGCCCTCCATCTGTGGGCACCTTTAGTCCCCACCGTCTTGCCCTGTTCACTACATCAGATCCTGTGTGGTCAGTCGCCACTTCAGCCTCTCCTCTGGCCTAGAGTCTCCCACGACTGTCCCCATTCTCCCTGAATAGGGTGTCCCGGATGAGCGACACTGGGGAGCAGGGCATGGGAGGGGTGAGATGTGAACCCAGATGCCTACAGAGCCACGCTGTGTACAGGGGAGGGCCCACGGCGCTGGGGGTGGGGTTGTCGGGGAAGGCTTGGGGAAGGGGCACACAGAGGTAGGGACACAGGCATGCCTGGCGGGAGGGTGGGGGGAGGGGCACAGCAGGAGCAAAGGCATAGGTGTTGCAAAGGGTGAGAAGAGCCTGGGTGTGGGGGCGATAGGCTGAGGGTGGGTGGAAGCCAGACCGCAGCTGTGTTCAGTGTTGCATGAGGCATGGATGGAAAAGAAAGCTGTGTTCCTCCAGCCACGGCCTCTTCACATCAGGGCCGCTTCCCCCTGTGCAATGCCCTGGAAGTACCAGGGCACACTGGTTGCTGGGGCGGACCTTCCTTCCAGTCCTTGTCTTTGAGTTGAGCCTGAAAGCCAGCAGATGCCTGAATCCCCAGAGGCTGTCTGCGCCCCAGACAGGCCACGGTTCCCCTCAGGGTTGGCTCCATCCCCGGCTCTGCCAGGGGTGCCGTGTGGTCAGGGGTAGGCACTTTCTGTCTCTGGAGCTCCATTTCGCCATTTTGCAGAAGGCTGGGCTGGACCAGATTGATCTCCAAGTCCTGCTGGTTACGCCATCTGGGTGCTCTAGAACCTGTGAATGAGGGAATACAGCGCGAGCTCGGGGCCGCTGGAGTAGGAAAGTGTGTAGGCTCCTTGTTGAGGGGTGAGGGGCAGGGGACTGGTGGGGCTCAGCCACACGCCATGCTGATGGAACGCAATCCACGGGCCTTCCCTCAAAGGCTCCTTGTCTTTTAATGACAACATAACATCCACATAAAGCAGCTTGCAGAACTTGAACTTGGAACATGGGCCCCAAGTTCAAGGCAGGTGTCAGCATTGAGAGGAGAGGGAAGCCCTGAAGAATGGGTCTGGGAGGGGAGAAGGCATGTACTGGGGAACTGGGGGTGGAGGGTGGGTAGGTCAGGAGGCGGCAAATGCACCTGCCCCTAGAGAGCACCCCATCTGGCTGGAGAGAACCTCCTAGACATGAAGGAGAAAGAGGCTCAGAAGGCCGGCCGAGTATGGAGTGTGGACTCAGGGAGCCGGGGCAGGGGGCGGGTGTGGGGAGCATCTGGGTGGGGGTCCTAGAGGAGCTGTGGCTTAGATTAGTCCTTCAAGCTGGTTCCTGCCCCATGGGGACTCACATCTAGCTGGGGACCATCAAGGGACACACAGCATGAGCCAGCGAACACACATGGTGGGAGGGGACGGGCGAGGAGAGGGTCGCCAGAGCTTGGGGGACCCAGCACTGGGACCAGGTGCACAGTTGCACCAGTTCTGAACAGTTCTGAACGCTGTAACCTGGCCGTTTGCCTGGGAAACGGCGGTCCAGGGAAGGGAGTCGGGTGGGAACCAGGGACCCAGGAGGTCAGCAGCTCAGAGGGCGGCTGTGGGGGTCAGAGGAGTCTTTGGAAGGAGGAAGGCGGAAGGTGGGAGGGGAGAGGAAAGGCAGGGAAGGGCAGAGACTCTTTGCTCCAGGACTGGGCTGTCTGGCCTTGCCCTTCCCAGAGAACCGTGGCCATTGGTTCCGGCCGGGAGAGCCACACAGCCCACGTCGGTGCCTTACAGCCTTCACTTTTGAGTTCACGTTAGTTTCCACCGGCTCCCATCAGAACCTCAGCTCGTACACAACTCTGACAGATGCAGCTGTGTCCTTTGCATGTCCTCCGTGGGGCGGAAAGCACTGGAATGACCACACTCTGACAGGTTAAGTCACATGTGCCATGCTATGCTTAAGATGGCAGGAAATAGATGAAGTATCAGAGAGATTTCCATTTCAACGAGTTAAAATTGAGCATTTGGGTCGTTTAAAAAGAGAAAAGTAAATCTTCAGCTATCTGGAAATTTCAGAAATCCTTCAGAGTTTCTGGGGCATTGAGATTTATGACAGATAGGTAGAGAGAGGAGAAAGCACAGACTGGAGGCAGATAGCCTGGGTCTATATCCTGGCTCCACCTCCTACTAGCTGTGTGACTTTCGGTGGGTGACTTAACCTCTCTGGGCCTCAGTGTTCTCATCTGTGAAGTGGGGAGGACAAGCTATAGAAGTGGCAGGGCTGTTACTGTAACGAAATGAGGCTCACGGCTAGTCATGGAGCCTGGCTGTGGAGCCCCTCCTGTGCACCTAGCCCGCCGGAGGAGGCAGGGTAAATCTTGATTTCTGCCTTTGAGACCAGGGCTGAGTTTGAGAAGGTGGGGCCATTGGGGAGCAGACGGAAAGGAGTGGCTGCAGGCCAGGGAGGAGGCCAGGCTGAGCTCCCACCCCTGGGTGCAGGAGGTGAGATGAAGCTTCCCACCCACTGCACCAGCACCACTGGCGTGCCTGCCCCAGGACAATCCCCTCCGCCCTCCCCTGAGCAGGGGCTGGGCAGGAGGGAGGCCCGCAGCCCCTCCCAGGTCTCCCCACCTCTGCTTCTCCTCAGCACTTGGTTCCCACTGCCATCAGGCCTGTGTTCACCCCTTTTACTCCATCCGTCCACCCCTGGAGCCCCAGAGTTGCTAGGCAGGCACCCTGTGATAGATCCATTTTGCAGAAAAGGCAACTGAGGCACAGAGAGGTCCGGTGACTTGCCCACGGGCAGACCAGTGAACAGAGCTCAGACCATGGGCTCAGCAGCCCCCCTTCTTCTTGGATCTTGGATGAGACCCCCCTTCCTAACCTCGCCCCACCCCTCCCTGCTGCCGCTGCCTAACTCGCTCACCTCTCCTCTGTCTCTCTCTTCCCCCACCCCGCCATCCCTCCTCCCCCGCCCCCTCCCCTCACCGCAGGGCCCGAGGGCTGTAACCTGTTCATCTACCATCTGCCCCAGGAGTTTGGGGATGCTGATCTCAAGCACATGTTCCTCCCTTTCGGTAATGTCATCTCCTCGAAAGTGTTTGTGGATCGGGCGAGTAAGCCAGAGAGATGCTTTGGTGGGGAAGATAACAAACCA